TCGGAAACAATCCTGCGTTCCGCCTCGGTCGTGGGAAAAGAGGTGAAGTCCCTTGCCAGCGCAGCAATAGCGTGCATGACCCGCTTGACGACTCGACACACAGTTGACTTGTGCACACCCCACAGGTCGCCCAAAACTACCTGGAAGGTGCCTGTCGCGTAGAATCGAAAAGCGACCAGGAGCTGGTCTATGGGCGACAGTGGGCAGTTGCGAAGGCCGTCGAAGGCGATGACATGTTCGATTCGGCTCAGTAGCCGGATGGTAGCGTCCTTGGAGAGTCGGAATCGCGTGATAAAATCTACGTCATCGTACCGGCAGAAGGGGTCGTCCCTCGGCTGTACCTGCCGTGGTCTGCAGCGGCTCTGGATCCAACGAACATCGACGGAATCTCGGTAATCTTCCTGGTCACTATCCTCACCAAAAAAAGAAGTCAAATCGGCAAACATATCGCCGTACAGCAACCATTCATTTTTCGAGGAAGCACATGCTAAAACTCCTAAAATGTAAATCGTGAGGCTGAAAATCTGATTAAATAGAAATATGATATGAAATATACAACTAATCCGATACACAAGAACGTTAAAGCATGTTTAAATAGTTTATTGTTCAAGCGAGGTGTCTGCCATAATAAAAGTTCCAGTAGCAGACGTCAAGAATCAGCTGATCATTGCAATCGGATGTAGCCCCTAATTAAAACATCGATAGCAACGACTGGTCTCCGCTTCATGGCGAAGAATGAAAATACAAATATTTACACTTTGGACACACGTTTCAGTAATCTTCCAAGCTGAATACTTTCGATCGTGTACGTTTATCAGATCAAACACCGAGTCGTGCAAAAAAAAAAAAACAACCTACTTATGTGACATGTCCCCGCGATCCCCGCTTTGCCCCGTTAGAGATAACACTCACTCTTAGTCGAGAGCGTATTTAAACATAGGGGTCAATAAGCACTTATCATGGCAATATTTCGTATCCTTGGCACAATTGAAGATCATTCTCTGGTCATTGTTACACAGTTGCAGCCTAAAACACACATTAGAACCACATTTGTCCACCGCGTCAACCGCCACAAACCAGCCGCCATGTTTTAAATCCAGGATTAAGAAACAACCAAAAACTAAGCGCCCCATGTTGAGCGCTTACGAGAAGCGTAGTTTAGTGCTAGGTTTAGCGATAAGCTATTTTGATGCAACCAAACGAAACCGAAACTTTGCTTAGGTTCCCGGCTAAGCCCTGCTTTGCTGCTTTGCGCTAAGCGGCGTTGGTGCAACCGGCCCTTAGCTTTGGCCATTGATCAAATTACAGAAGTGAGCACTCAGATTCTTGACATACTCCCACTATTCCCAACCATCACGTATCGTATTTCGTCGGCATAACATGTTTCACATTTCTGAAAATTAAACATTATAAGATTGCCTGCTGAATAAATATTATTTTAAAATCAAACAATCGACTGCCAGCGAGCATCTTAATTAAGGTTATTCAATTAAAAAAGGCGAACACATCTCGTCGCTTTAACGTACCCCGATCTCGTAACGCATACGGCGAGCGAGTGATGCAATCGTGCGGAACTAAAATCTGGAACACTTTACTTCCATCTTCAGTCACCCATTCATGCAAATTTAACAGCGCTTTAAATTACTATATTTTTATTAATAGAACATGTCTCCCACTATCCTGAAACTCGCTCACATTTTCTGTTATTTAATTTATAATAGTTTTTTTTTTTTTACTTTGAATACACTTGTGCTTCTTTCCCGTTTGGTTATTATACAATGTATAAATTACTTGCTGTAGTTAACAGTTTCTTTTCTATTGCCTTTTTTCTTTTATTTTTTATTTTATTGAACTTCCTGTAGTATTCCTAACAGTGCTGCCTTCCTTATATTACATTATTAATATAGACCCAAACTAGCCAAAAGACGATGGACCAAGATGGTTTTCAATAATGTGTATGACGCAATTCATGATAATGGAATAGATTGATTGATTGATTGATCACGCTCTTTCGCCGCCATCGACACTAGCTTTCTTTTTTTTACTTTGAGCACTAGTTCGCCCCAATAAACGTTTAGTTTGAATCAGTTTTCATCGCCTCATCAATTGTCATTCGTGACAATCTGTGTCTCTTGCATCATGATTGTTACTGATACAGGAAAGCCCTCTTTTCATAACTGTGTCCTCAGCTCCGAATAAAATGTGTTATTAAAAAAATCGCTGTAGTGTAAGTTACTAAAAAAAAAAACGAGAAGGAATTTATCTAAATTGAATGAACTACTCCCAGTTCCTTTCGGGTCCTGCAATGAACTGCGGTATTATGCAATGCGCTTCACATTATATTACAAACTTCGCTGCATGCAGGTTACACCAATGGCTACCCACCTATTCATGACACCACGTGACGCCAGGGTAACATGACGTCATATTGTAATCGGACACAGTGACGTGAAGTGTGACCGCGCAGTATTTTTTCCGCTAAATATAGCGAGCACATTTTATGACACCAATTGACATTATGACGTTGCGAGAGATTACGACGTCATGCCACGATATACAAGAAACGAATTTTGAGATCAGCTCCGAAACCCCACCAATAACCGCACTCGCCATGAAAAGCGAATTGCCTCCTGCCTTGAACGGTCGACTCAACATCGTGCCTTATCGCTACCTGAACAACACGCTATTCATTAGGCCAGTATCTCCAGCTAGTTTGAGTGCGCCACCGTCGTCGTCATGCATCGTGGGAACTGTAGTCGTTCTGCACGCGCGATATCCCAGCTGGAGGTCTGCGCGTGCAGAGCACAAGACTACACGAGCTGTCTCCTGCACGGGCGCCTACCTCTTAGCATAGCCTCCTATGTACTGACGAAACCTGGCAGATCGCCACGACAAGCGGCCGCTGAAATTGTAATCGTGGACCGGCAGGCAACTGTGAGAGGAGAACCACGTGACTGGCGCCCCGATGCGGCGAGATGCCAAAACGCACTTCTCTCGCGCGAACAAATGTGTTTCAGGTCCTGGCCATTGCAAAAGCAGTCCGCTGACGTCCAGGTTCCCTGAAAAATGGCTTTTTGATGCTATGTGCTACTAGATCCTCGCGCTCCAAATCTGCGACCGGGCACTTTATGGCTCCGTCGTCGAACTTCCGGGCGTTGTAAGTATAGAGGAGGCTATGATCGTAGGAACTACAGTTATAGCGGCCTCACTCATACGTGGAACGCTTAGAGGGGCGGTGCAGCGATATTAAAATATAATGTTTTTAACTTTACAGGGACTTACTGGCACGAGTGGGACTAAAGAATACTCGCACCCTACGCCACTGGTCAGGAAACGTTTTTTGTTGCGGTGTGATTTCAAGGACAAAAGCGAGCGTTGTCAGTCAACCTCTCCTTCACAAAACTTGATGACGCAACTGGGGGATCGCAGTACCGCCCAGCGACTATATTTGAATACGGCTCATAGATTGAACTCGAGCATTGCGTGAACACTCGATTTGGACTTGTGGTAATTGATAGCTCGATAAGTATTCGGAAAGTGGCCCGTGTCTTATCGCTGCGATGACGACAATAGCCGAACCATAACAATGTCGAGAACTCAGCGGCTGTCCTGTGTTTTGCCAACTCCAGCGCGTGGCTATGACCAACATTGCCGGCATTTAATCGGCTCCAGATTACGTGGCCGCTTGTTTTGGCTGCGAGTTGAGGGGGTGAACGCTCCACGTTTTTCTTTAATTGTTTCTGCGACTTCAATTGCGTGTGGTGAAAAGGGAACGGGTGTTTCATAGGTCATTAACGCCAGGCATCCGTTCTAAGCGGTATTTGCGCAAAGTAGAAAAATCGTTGCATCGCCCCTTTAAAGAGATCGGTTTAAAATTTAGGCTTTGTAATGTTTAGTCCCTCGAATGGGCAACGTTGGGACAGCTGGTTGGCGTGACTCACAAAAGCTGTGGCAGATGCAGCAAGATTGACTTTTCCTGTGTTTTTTGCGGCATGTGCGTGCACTTGTTTCCGACCACAGCTGGTTTGGAGGTACCTCTGGTTGGCCCCCTCGTGACATCCCGTTTTTTTTTTTTGTACTTAGAAATTAATTCTATAGTAGACTGAGCTGTGGGGTTTCTGCGCACTGAGTAATCTTTGTCATCGGCTTCAGCATTTATCGTTTGAAACTAGGTATTAGGCAAAGGATGGACACTGGGGAAATGCGCAAGGTGAGTACCCGGGCTCGCTGATCCTAGAATTTATGTCACACACACAGAGACACGCTTGCACACGCGCGTACACACTCACGCACAGACACACGCGTACAAAGACACGCACTCGGGCATACACTTTCGCACATTAACGAACATCAGCGCGGAGTCAGACATTCCACTTAAGATATTTGTTTCTACATACCCGAAGAAACTAATTATAAGATTAATCGTACGCGGTTCGGTTTTGCCCTAGATCTTCGAGGCGAATTCAGGGTTTTGTAAATTCAACTCATGGGAAATCTTGGATTCAAATTTGTGTTTAATTACGAGCCTACACCTTTTTTTTTTTACTAAACTCGCAGCAGGGCTGGGGTCTGTTGTGAAACAATGTCACAATATAATTAATTATGCACCGTTCTAAGTGTTCTATGGAGGATTGATTCTGACTTTTACTGGGTGAGTGAGCCTAGCACTCGAAAGGGATTACAATCTTCTGCTACACAATCTCAGGAAGACAAATTTCGCGGTAACTCTGCTAATTCGTCATAAATAAAGACAACCTGCAAACACCGTGTGGGGCATGTCTCTGCCTTGTACCACGCTCCCCCCACATTGGTCTGACAAAGACTTTCATTAGTCGAAGCAGGCCTATATATGAAGCAAACGCCTTTCGAACATGCCACACGCGACTCGGCAGGTGAATGTGTCATTATATGGAAGCAGCGAATGCCATCTTGTCTTTTGTATGATGCATAAGCAGTCTGATGGGAGCTTATTGTGAGACAAAAATGGTTCCCATTGGTAGGCTATAAAGATGATTGTTTTTCTGATCAAGAAACCCTCGCTGGAAACAAGCGCTCCATGGGAGTGGGTGCCCCTTGTCCCACTCCTCGCCATCACCGTGGTCGTCGTGTGGTACACCCTGCGAGCACCAGACCGCTCAAAACTGCCTCCCGGTCCCAAGGGAGTTCCCCTGTTGGGCTTCATTCCTTTCCTGGGAAGGAATCATCACGTGAAGTTCGCAGAACTCGCCAAAGTATACGGATCCATTGTGAGGTAAATAACAATATTGTTTTGTTTCGGAATTTCAGTCTCGACTGATGAACCGAAAGGTGAGCTAATGCCGCCTGACGGAACTCAGTTGAAAATGAATAATGAAATAGGATTAATATAAAAATAAACGCTCAGTCAACTATACTTCGTTTGAGCTCAGGTCAAGAAAAAGCCGACGCTACGAGATGCTTTTTTTTCTGCTTATGATTGCTCGGGCGACAATAGAAAACGTACAGAAACCTGACGAACACCATGATGGTATCATTTTGACGTTGTCGGATTGATCCCTCCAGCTCGTAGCGTCGGCTGCATCCGAAATTGAGGTGAAGCAAAGTATAATCACGATACAGAGCATCAACACCTATGTCCCCTGTCAAATTGTGATGGACCGCAGCGGATACTACGACCCATCGCAGTGAATCCAGCATTCTGAACGTCTGGTGCGACTACGTGCCCCGCACGTCACTGCGCTACTTCCAAAGATCACGTTACATTCCCACGGCGCTGGGTTGACTCTGGTGACTCCTAGCCTTCTCCGCAGTTCATGATAAGTTGAAACGTAATACAGTCATATTATGCTCCTTAGAATGACATTTAAAAATATGCAAACAGGCGGCCATGACTGCCTGTAAGAGAATTTGGGATTTACACTCTATAGATTGAAACGTTCGAGAAAGCAGAATGAAAATGATTCCAGCGATGGTGAAAGGTTAAGAAACCAGTAGATACCTACGATTTTACGGCCCTCAAAAGCAGACACATAATTTGCGCAGGCAGACATGGGGGACATTCACGCAACGCTGAGTAACATGTTTTTTGTTTTGTTTTTTAATTTTGTCGTTTTTCTGTTCAAACAGCGTGTCTGCTGTTGCGAGTTGTAACATCGTAGGTATGAACAATCAACTCTCCCAAACATGTAGTCTTAAAGGAGCTGTGCAACGATTTTAACCTTGACGTAATTTGCATTTTCTGCCTTTAATATTGTTCACTGTGTCACAAAAGGCAGAAAACACACCTCCTTTCATCGAAATGCTGCGATTCCACCGCGTAATAGCGAGGCAAAACTTAGAATATTTCCCGACCTGCAGCCACGAACGGCGGCCATGAGGAACAAGCGGCGTGACGTCACTTGGGTAGTTGTAAAAAAGATAGCAAGTTGTGCGAATACCTGCTCGATAAAAGGTAACTTGTCTATAAATCTTGTCATTCCAACATATATATAAATGCGTCAAAACCCTGGTATCATCGACAAGACTTTGGTGGTGGTTAAACGTTTTTTTTTTTTATTGATGAAAGGGTTATGTCAAGGCTTCTTGATAAATATCACCTAGCCTTGATGGGGTAGGGAATAGGGTGATGAGGGTAGGGGAATGGGAGGAAGTTAAATGATTTGAGGAAGGCCCGCCGAGCATACGTAGCCCAACAAAGAGGTTAATATTTGTTTCCTGTTGACGTTGTCACTGGCCGGTCTTGTCCATTCTCGGTAGTTTGTGGGTCTGGCTTCCGCGGGCAGTTCGTGTATGGCAGCTTGTCTTTCCTTGCTGGTGGCCTGACAGTCCCATAAAAGGTGCTGGCAGGTAGCAGGTAAGCTGCAAGTTTTACAGAGCGGGTCTGGGCCGGGATCGTTCGGTGAAGTAGGCTTAGAAAATCGAGCACGCCATACTGGGGTCAGGGCTGTGCATGTCTGGAGCCTTCGGATGCATACCCTCTCCCATCTGGTAAAGCCTGGTGGGATGGGGCAGTCGTCCATGGGCAGCAGGGATGCCAATCGTTGTTTCCTGGCTATCCGCTCTATCTCTTTCTGTTCCTCTGGGTCCGGTGCCACGGGTTTCTCTTTGACCGAAGAGGAGGCGAGTCCTTGTGAGGGTACGTCATCTTGTAGTCTAGCCCTCGCGGCCTCGTTCGCCTCTTCGTTTCCTGGAATTTCCATCCCGGAATCCATGACAGTTCGAGCCGCCTTCCTTTAAGACGTAGTGTTTGTGCTGAATTCTTGATTTTTCGTGTAATATTGTTCTTGCTGCCTATGTGAAGGCATTCTTTAACCGCTTCCTTCGAGTCGGTGAATATGTACAGGTGTTTGTTGGTGCTTTCTACATGAGCTTCAATTGCTAACTGGATGGCGAGCAGTTCTGCTGTTTTTGTGCTGGGTGTTATTGGTGCGAGCTTACTCTCTTTCTTGGAGGAGCTCTTTGCTAACCAGGCTACGGCCGTTCTCCCGTCATTGTCTCTAGCTGCGTCCGTATATAGGATTTCGACGTCTTCCTGTTCCCTAAGTCTTCCGAGATCTTCGAGGTGTTTTTTTGCTGCAGCTGCGCGACGTTTCCTGTGTCCTTCACCTTGATTCATGGGTATAGGTTTGAGGGAGACGACAGGTTCGTCCTCCCACGGAGGCTGTGATGGTTGGTTGCTTGGAATGCACCACGTCCTTCTGCCTAGTTTTTCTAGTATGATGCGTCCGTGCCATGTCTTCTCCAGCCTGTTGTACTGACTGATCTTCATTTCTTGTGCGATCTCTTCGATGGGGTTGACCTGAGCTGCTTTGTGCAGTTCCTTGATGGGTGTAATTTTTGGCAGGCCTGTGATTACCCTCATTGCGGTCCTGTTGAGAACCTCGAGCTTCTCTCTTTGCGTCGCAGTGAGCCTAAGATAGTTTATTCCGTACACTGCTCTGGAGACGAGCAGTGCTCGGACTAATCTTCGGAGCAAATCCTCCTGACATCCCCATGATTTGCTGGTAATCCGTTTGAGGAGGTTGAGTCCGTCCTTCCACTGAGCCTTAATTTGCTTCTGCCAGCTTGTAGCTCTACCGTCTTCGTCGAAAGTTAGGCCTAAAACCTTGATTCTGGGTTGTGGTTGTATGGGAGCACCGTTAAGGAATAGCTGGATGTTATGCTTGCCTCTGGCTCGTTTGCTAGTTATGGTCATATAGGCAGTCTTTTCGGTAGATATCTGCAGTCCCGTTTTTTTCATGAATTTGTCGGTGACGTTTAAGGCTTCTTGAAGTATGGCCTGTTGTTTCGAGGCGGTTCCTTTAATAGTCCATAATGTGACATCATCAGCATATATAGTAAATCCTAGGTCATCGATCTCTTGGAGTTCGAAGGCCAGGTCCGTCATAGCCATGTTAAATAAAGTGGGGGATATTACCGCCCCTTGGGGGACCCCGATGTGGTTAGGTTTGGGGGTTCCTTTGGTGCGACCTATGATTACATGAAACTGCCTGTCCTTCAGGAATGCCTTGATGAAGTTGAGTATGCGTCCATGTAGTCCTCTTCTTTCCGCTGCGCGGATTACTGTGCCGTGAGGTATTGTGTCAAAAGCCTTTTTTATGTCGATGGCGACCATCGTTCTGGGCTTTGCATTGGCAGGGTTTTCGGTCATGTCCTTGTGTATAAGCGCCAGGCTGTTTTGACTCGAGAGGTTGGGACGAAACCCCGTCTGCATAGGGTGCAGTTTCCGGTGTGTTTCGAGGATCCATGTGGTTCGAGCTAAGACCATTCTTTCCATAAGCTTGCAGAAGTTCGAAGTGAGAGAAATAGGGCGGAGATTCCGAAGGTCGGATGGAATTTTGCCTGGTTTTGTGATCGGAAGGACAGTGGATGTCTTCAATTCTGTCGGAATGATGCCCTCTTCCCAGATCCTGTTGATCCAGTCTAGAAGGTCGGCGGTGTCCTTCTCAGGCAGGTTTCGTAGCGCCGCAACCGTAACTCGGTCTGGCCCAGGTGCCCTGTTCGCCTTTGCTTTGGCGAGAGCTGCACGCAGCTCTCCCATGGTGAATGGGAGATCCTCGTCGGTCGGTACTTTGATCTTGCTAGGCTCATAGCAGTCCGCTGGGGGTGCCGTTGTTGGCTGCGGAAAGAATATGTCTCTCGCGAGTTCTGCTACCTCTTCTTCCGTGAGTCCTAGACAGAGGGCTAGGTTGCCGCTGGTACCCACAGATCTAATTTTACCCGCCATGCATTTGTACGTGCGCCATACTTTCTTCAGGCCCGTTTTCTCGTTGAATGAGTTGCAGTGTGACCTCCATCTATGCCGGCTTAGCTCAAGTGTGCAGCGTCTGGCTCTGGCTGTGGCTAGGTTAAGCTTGATTCGTAGCTGTTTAGAGCTCTTCTTCTTCCGGTAGCGTTGTAGGGCTTGAAGCCGACTTGCCCATAGGTTTAGGAGATGGAGGTCCCGGGTTGGGGCGTCGTCTTTTATGTTATAATTTTCCATGGCTTGCTCAAGTGCCGTCTGGATCTTTTGGGCTAAGTCTTGGCCGGGGAGGTTGGCGATGACTTTTCGAAAGTTGTCCCATTTAACGAAGTGGGTCTTCCTCCGCGGTGATGTCTGGTTGTGTAGTTCGATGTGAATCGGAACGTGGTCTCTGCCCATGGAGTCTGGCGAGGCGTGCCAGGACATTCGGAGCCCCTTGGAGGCCCATGTTAGGTCCGGCGACGTGTCGGCCTGCGAAGGGTTTTGGGATATCCTTGTCGGCGTGTCTTTGTCGTTAAGAAGTACGAGATTATGAGTCTCGCACAGCTTCTTGATGGACCTTCCTTTCCTGTTCGTCGTTTTGTATCCCCACATCGTGTGTCTGGCGTTAAAATCGCCACAAAGAATCGTTGGTGTTTTGTCCGTTAAAAGTTGGTCGAGCCATTTGCAGTCTTTGTCTTCCGTTATAGTTGGTCTGATATAGACATTAAAAACATTCAGGGTCTTGCTACCGATCTTGATCTTGATGCCGATCACCTCTTTATTATTATCGCTGATATTTGACATGTCGATATTTGCGTGGTGTACTCCTTTATGAACCAGTGTTGCAGCTATACCATAAGAACGGGGCGTGGCTCCTTTGTGCCTTGTTATGGTGGGCGTTGTGAATGTGACATAGCCCGGAAGTGTTATGTTCTCACAATCCGCCTCTTGCAAGAGAATCATTGCTGGTTTTTCTACTCTCTTGTCTTGAAATCGAAGTTTAAGTTCCGCAGCTTTGGTTTGAAATCCTCTGCAGTTCCATTGCATGATCCAAGGCATATATTTCTTTTTGTCGGTGTGATTGCGTGTCTTCTGATGGGACTGATTATACATTGATCTTGCTCAATAAGGTCTCTAACATTTGCTTCATTTCTTTTATCGAAGTTTCTACGGAGGTCATTCTTGCCTCTACCTTGCTTTGCCAGATGGCGAGCTCTACGGTTGCTGAGGGTGTTTCTGCCTCTTTGTTGGATGGCATGCCAAGTACCACCGGTGCGCCAGTATCGGTGAAACATAAGAGAGTGCTCCATGCTCCCCTACTTGGTGTGGTTGGTATCACTGGGGACGGGCCCGGGGCTCCTTTTGTGGGGGCCGGTTTGTTTGTTTTGTTCTCTTGTGGAGGCGTGGCTGTGTGCGTCGTTCGCCTCTTTGGCGGAATCCTGCGCTTGGGACAATCATTGCTGGTGGCCACATGAGAGCCTCCGCAGTTGTGGCATTTGGGTTGTAGCTCGCAGTCGCTGTCCTTGCTGTGGTCGTGTCCGCACTTGTCGCAACGGCTAGTTTTATTGGGACAGACATCTGAGTTATGTCCGATTTCGTGACAGTTGAAGCAGACTACGGGTCGTGGTCTGTACGATGATACGGGGTAGGATTCGTATAAGAAACGTACGTATTTTGGAATGGACTTGCCTTCAAATGTGATAAGGACGGTCCTGCCGGATCTGCCTATCGCTCTGGCCGCAACAATCTTATTTGTTCGACACATGAGGTCTTGCATGAGAGTTTCGGGCGTTTCCTTATTGTCGGAGCCGTGCAGATAGATCACTCCCTCGACTTGATTGCTAGCCATAGCCATGTAAGGTGTGACCTCATACGTCTTGTCATCCTTTTTTATTTCTCCGATGGAGAGCAGCTTACTTGTGATGAGTGGATTCTTTGTGGTTATTGAAATCGTGTTGGATTTCTAGCTCATATGTACCGAGAAGCCATTTTTGTTGCGCACGCCGGTCTTCTCAATAGGGGCACAGATGTCTTTCCCGGTAAACCTATATACTTCGGCCTTACAGGTTGGCTTGAGCACAACTGTCTGCGTGGGTGCAGTGTGTGATGTAGTATTCTGCGCATTGTCTGAGCTGCGGTGCTTGCGCCTACGAGAGGGCTGCCATTCACCGTCGTTGCCTTTGTCTTCATCCATTGGTGTCATATTGTTTCCAACGTCGTCGTCTTTCTCGGGAGGATTTGCCGCTGCTTCGCCTTCGGAAGACGTGCTCGATTTGCTTTGAAGAAATGTTTGAATTTCTTGCTTGTGAGCCATGTATTCTTTTAGCTCTTGCTTGAGAGACATGAATTCTGCTACCTCTTCTTGGTTCTGCAAAAAACGCGTTGAAGGTTTCTCGCAATTGCTGAAATTCAAAGGTACATCTTCCATTCTGCTGGGTCCACGCTCAGTGGTGATTGCGCTGAGCTTTGCATCGCTGCGATGTTTTCAGTTGAGGGTGCCGGGTATGGATTCCTGGCTGCCTGGTTCATTACCTGCGCCTTTGTGAGGACGCGGATCTTGCCATTGAATGCCCTTCTCGGGGTGCAGTTCGGGTTCAGGGAGGCCTGGTCCTCAGCGTCCGCTGGTGAAGCGGGATACCCGGCTACGGCGTCGTCCAGGGTTGACGATGGGGTACAGGGTGGAACCCCGTGGGGTTCGGATTTCAGCCGAACGAATGCTGGCTGGGGTAGGAAGTTAGGCCTAGTGGAGCGCTTTTCTACCTGCGACCTGCGTCGGTCATCGCGCTGCGCGATCTCCCTCGACAAAACTTTTATTATACGGAGTTTTAGTGGCGCCATCTATCCTAGGTCCAGAAAACCGCGAATAGCCGCCAGAAGCCGGAGGGGGAGGGGGACAGCGCCGGACGGACAAGGACGGGTACGGCCGGACCCGGATGAGACTTTCCTCCTTTCACCGTATATTTCGCGGAGCGCCCGCCAGCACGTGGTCACGCGGTCGCGAGCGGATGAGTTCTCGCTGCTCGCTGATGGCTCTAAAGAGAAAACTTTTGCGGAGCCCCGCGCCTACTCAAGTGACGTCACTGCGCACGTGACCCGGAAGACGATGTACGAGCTGAGAGGCGGCAAAAACCTGGAGCTTTTTCATTTTTTAAAATAAAAACTAGGGTATCCAGGCAAAGTTTGTTTTCTGTAGTTCACTGCAGAAGTGTCAGGCATCAACTTCCACAATTATTTAAGCAGAGCCCTGATATTGTTGCACAGCTCCTTTAACGAACTAAGTTGATGGTCCGCTCCTAGCGTGAGCTTCCTGCCTGTGATAACACATTAATATTATTACACCGTCGTTTCGGGGAGTGAAGTAGAACCTTTATTTTTCGTACACATTTCGTCCATAAATTGAGGAAGAAAACTGAATGAATAGGTCACGTGGCGTCAATTGCCGTCCGTTTGGATATTTGTGTTTGTCTTTTGTTCCTCTTGTTCCCCTTCTCCAGGGATTATTTTCGTCGCAAAATTAAGCGGGAAAACTAAATTGGTGAATAGGCCATATCACCTCAATATTTCTTTTAGGTTTACTGGGGAAATGTTTTTGATGTGTTACGTGTCGTCGGGTCAGGGACGTCAATTTTGTCGCTAAATGTAGCGGGGAAACTGTAGGTGTCTACATCACGTGACATGAATTTCCCAGGCAATAGGTGAAAGATGTCAAAAGGATTTCAGGACAAGTGACAATAGGTGAAATGACGTCAATCTTTTCGCTATAGGGTGTATTCACTGGCGGCTACATCTGTTTGCGCGATTGCTGAGCGCGTGCCGCCGGCGAGCTTCCACAGTTCTTTTGCATCGTACATTCCGCACCATCAATATTCCCGGTCTTAGCAAGCTATTAATCCGAGCTGGCTCTCAGCAAGCGCTCTAAACACCACCCTCATATATGGCGTCTATTGAATACACTTTTTATTGAGGGGAAAATTCGATTGTTGTTTAAGTCTCGTGATGCGAGGTCACGGAACCTTACATTTCTGCTAAACTGCACTGGTGTGTTCGTCACAAAAGGTCAGGTCAAGTGACATAATTTTTTTCTGCCGACTTTGCACGAAACATTTAATTAGTATATATAGATCACGTGACGCCAGCTCACATGACAATGTTACTGCGCGTGTCCTAGACACCAATTTAGTTTCAAGGATCAATTTATCGAGAAATGCACGGGTAGACGGACGTACGGACGGACTTTCGTTCTTGGGGAATGGGGGGTTACGTCACAACCATTTTATCACTGAAAAACAAAAACAAATAAAACAGTCTAGTGCACAGAAGACAATAAAACGGGACAGTGGATCTGCTCACCCAAGAAGGAAACAGCAGAGAATTCAGCAGAGCTGTGTCTAGTCGACACAAAAAAAATCAGAGCTGTATCTGAAGATATTTTCCTGTGAGACTTGTTTTTTCTGATTCCAAGACAACAATGTTTCGCTTATTATTTTTTTTTTTTTGATTTTGAGGAAGCAAGTTCAGGGTTTATGGGCATTTACCCTAAACACAAAATTCTGCCCATAAACCATGTGACCCCGAGCCAGCAGTAGGCATCTATTGCGAGGAGTTTCCGGTAGATGTTTCCGAACCTCTTTCCTACATTGTGCCTTTTCCATTCGAGAAGCTGAACGGCAGCGGGACTTTTCATAAGTTCTCATACCTCCATGCGTAATTGTAGAACACGCGTGAAGGTATCGGCAGTAAGGAACAGTTCGGTGACGGTCGGTGACCCAGCGCTTAATTTGAAATACGCCGTAATATTTCTCCGCCATCGTTTGCTTCAAGAATTCGGGCGAAATTTGTGACCAAAGCATCGTAGAAAGCCTTCAAAAATGGTTCTTAGTTTGTCAATAGGTGGCGCAAAGAACTGCGCCAAAAACACAGATTGTGGGCGTATCAAACAGGCACCTTAAGTAAATGGTATTAATTGTGTTTCCAGAGTCAAGTACGGAATGGTGAACGTCGTGGTTCTAAATGACTACGCCTCCGTCAAGAAATGGCTTTCTCACAGCGCATTTCAATCCCGGCTCAGAAATGTGTTCTGCAGGAACACGGGCGTGCTCGGTTAGTTCTTTTTTTTTCTACTGATAATCCTTCCACAATACATTGCGTTACATGTCCTGACTGAATAACGGTTTGTTGCTCGATCCCAACTCTCATTTTCGCAGGTATCGCAACTCTCAACGGAGAAGCGTGGCGTGAAAACCGTCGTGTGTGCCTGAACATTTTGCGAGACAACGGCTGGAAACTGGCCAACATGGAAGAACAGGTCCAGGTGATATTCCTCCCCAGGCAGTTCGGCGCACAACTACTATACCTCACGCCTAGTCCGAGCTCGGTCGACGCTACAATCTTATGTAGCACTTGATGTAACGCAAAGAGTGCGCGGTCATGGCTCTCGTCGTCTTTATAGGTTTTTTCACATCGTCTAAACTAATCACTTACATAGAAAAAAACCGCATAGTGGGGGCCTATTTACTTTACTATTTACGTAGCAAAAAGCCTGAAAAGCGAAGAGCGCAGTAGTAATGCACGTTTGACAGATCTTGATCGGCTTCGTTCGGGCTTATTGTCAAATGGAGTATAGACCTTTGCGTTGCTTATCAACCGGGTGAAAAATGTTGAGTCATTGAGCTGTGAATGCATGCGCAACGTCAGATGTACAGCACAGCGGAGAAATAGCGCATGCTCAGAAGGTTTTCCACAGCCCAGCAGAGAAAGATGGCACCTCGCACAAGGCGACTTTTTGCAAAGGTCTATAGGGAGTTTGGAGCGAGTAGCTGACCGGTACGGGGTCGTTGTCTCTTCGGGTGGAAACCGAGCGACCGCGTTGTGACATTGAGCTGCCATTAGGTCACGCGATACACTGTCGGGTCCGACGCCACAACGTGGCATGGTGTCGTCATGGGCGAACGAGGAATATAGAAGTTCCGTAGCACATTTCCGTAGCGGGCGCGTAACACATTTTGGGTACCACCGAATTTCGCGTGGTGTAAAAAGTCCGCTAAATTTAGCAACTCTTCCAGGTTTTCTTTCGCCTTTTTGGTGATGCTCATAATTAATTTTTTACTCATCTCGTGAAGGTCAACCAGGCCTATTAGCTCTAGATGTCGGTCTTCTTTAAGCCGCTGTGTCACTGCCCATACGTCGTCGTTCGATGCCGACTGGACAGAATCATCTGAAGACGCGTGCCAAGCATGTGTCCTTATTCCAACATGTCTGTAGACAGTCTCTGTAGTGGGAACGATGCGTCAGGACGGCCACGCAAGAAATTGACTCATCCTAGACATTGCCTGCACATTGCAACATTGCATTTTGTACGATGTGTTCGCAGTGTTACTACGACTTGATGGTTCCTGCCGGTGACGTCACGATCAGAAATTTGCGAACGACAAGTTCGATGGTGCGTGGAAAAGACGTAGGAACCCCGGAGATAGCGTGTTCATTGACCGACACCGCTAAAGTTCACAGACTGGCGTTACTCCTGTAGACCTCGATGAATGCGGAGGTATTCCTGCCAAAGAAACTATGGTGACCATTTGGCCAATGCTGGAACGCCGACTTCAGCGACACTTCAGGTCACGCGCGTCGCCAGTAAGACTCTCGTGTCTAAAAAACTATCTATTGTTTAGATCTCTACCGCTTTTTATAATTTTCTATGTCGCCAGGTTGAAAAATTTTGGGCCGAGGGCAGAACCTACTTTGAGTTTAAGATATATTTTCGATTGTGATAACAAAACCTTCGAGGCACAGTCCCCGAATTTTCTCAAAGGTGTATCTAGAGTGCCAAAGACAATTGGGGCCAATTGAGCTTCTAGGAAAGGACTATATAAAATATCTTTACTGTTTTTACTTTTATGTTATCGTAAACGGCTCCAATCCAGCATCCAGAATGCGTCGTGCCACACGGTGTTAGTCAATGCGTTTTTAATAATTTTAATAACAATTATGTAGCCTTTATGTTTCTGCAGCCGGAACCTAGTCAGCCCTGACGGGTGACTTGTCTACCAGCTATAGATGAGAAATTTAGCCTGTCGTCTTTAACTTGCATCACGCAGTAGCAATACACGACCGCGCGCCGTTGCGATGCTCATCTAGATCGAAACGGGCAGTGTTGGGGATGCAACCCAGGATCCCTGGGCCGGTTTGCTTATCTTGCGGCCGCGGCTGCGGCTGCGGCCAAGAGGGATTTTTCTGCCACGTGACCAGCTTCATGGGGACAAGGAAGTACCTAGCGTCCCTGCCTAATGGCGGAGAAATCCGTTTCGCTTCAAGCACAAAAGCCTAATTTCGCTCACAGAAACTGACTGCAGGGACTTTCAACTGGAGTCCAATTGACCGCCCCCTTATACACTCTAAAAAAAAAGGAGTCGACAAGTGTCGACTCGACTCTTTTTGGAGAGTATCTGGGTTGTCGCAAACCACACTCTCTATGGAGAGTAACGGTTACTCTTCACCGACGAGAGTCAGTTTAACCCTCCCATGCGAGAGTTCACTTAACTCTTCTATAAAGAGTCATGCCAATACTTTTGGAAGAGTCAGGACTACTCTTTGATGTGTAAGTGTGAGAGTTAATTTCACTCCTTTGTGTAGAGTAACTATAACTCCATAAAAAGTGTTGTCTAAACTCTTTGACGAGAATTAATATCACTCCTTTGTGTAGAGTGACTATAACTCTATCAAAAGTGTTGCCTAAACTCCTTGTTAACGAGTTAAGGAGGCTCTCCAGGCAGAGTTACCTTCACTCCTTTATGTAGAGTAACTTCAACTCTGTATTCAAGAGTTACGCGTACTCACCAGGAAGGGTTACCTTCACTCCATCGTGTAGAGTAACTACAGCTCCATTAGAAGTGTGGCCTAAACTCTGTACTTAAGAGTTAAACATACTCTCCCTGAAGAGTTGATTTCACTTTTTTGTGTAGAGTAATGAGAACTCCATTAAAAGAGTTGTCTAAATTCTGTGTAAAGAGTTAAAAAAACTCTCCAGGAGTTGATTTCACTTGTTTGTGCAGAGTAACTACAACTCCATTAGAAGTGTTGCTTAAACTCTGTATTAAAGAATTAAGCATGCTCTCTAGGAAGAGTTGTGATGACCATTTTGAGGAGAGTAAATAAAACTCCATTAGAAGTGTTGCCTACACTTCATACTAAAGAGTTAAGTATGCTCTCTAGCGAGAGTTAATGTCAAATAAAAGCACACTTGAGCAGTTTGTGTGACCCCTTTTCGAAGAGTGCTTAACTCTTTAATAGAGTCAATTACTCTCCACAAAGAATTGTGTAAAGTACACCCCCGTGTGCCTAAACTCTGTATAAAGAATTAAACACACTCTCCAGGAAGGGGTCACACAAACTCCACTCAATTATACTCTTATATGTTGTTTTTGTTGTGTTGTTGAGTGCTAGTTAACCCAGTAAAAAGTAACAGAAACGCCTGAAAAGAAAATTATAAGAACAGAAGTGTAAATTTGGCTGTTTGTTAATAAAACGTTTGCTGGAAAAAAAGTAAAAAAAGAAAAAAAAACTCTACTGGCAATCAGCATTTCTAGCCAGTTAAAGTGCGACCACTGTACTTTTCTTTTTGCAATTATTTTATGAATGTCAATACCTCTCTTGATTTCACTGTAATGTGGAATGCTTTTGGCCTTATTGCAGAAGTTGTTGCATACAACTAGAGACAACTCAAGTATTTTGCAATGAACAGTAGCCCTAAAATCTAAAATCGGCTATGTACATGTTTACAAGATGGTTGCATAGGAAATGTGGAACGGCACATAGATAATGAGCCTGTACAGAGGCTACAGGTCTTCATGAAAAGTCAGCATGGAAAGAATAAAAACAGTAGAAAAAAGCTTAATAAACCAAGACTTTAATTTCAGCACATGGCAAAAAAACCAAAACTGGCACCTAAATTCCCTCTGGCTAAAAGTTTCTAACTTTGATATCAGATCCAAAGCCAGGACGGACTTTATCTTGTACTTCAAACCAATGAAGTGCCCAATCACTGCGAGTGACCGGCTTGCTTTTTGACGGTAAGATATGTCGTGGACCCAGTGCAGTGCAAGAACGAGCACAGCACGAGCCACAATATCCGTCACCTCAAAGAAGTGGTCCTCCGACACCAGAGTTATGGCATTTGAGTCCTCTTCATCACTGTGCATCACCGGGCAGGTCGATCCGTCGTGCCACTCCTCCTGTGAAAAATGAATGCATAAATGTAAAGTCAGAAATATTAAAAAAGAGTAAGCTTGCTAAGTGCCCTTAGTTAATACCAGTGCACTCATTTGCAAGACAATAGACCGTTTTCGAAAATCCCAGGAGCCATTCATAGAATATACTTGAATAGTTGGCTGGGACTTGCATTTTTGCCGATTGAACAAGAGTCCAAACCAAACAGTTAGGCAGCACTCATGGCTAGCTCACTCAGCCGCAACCATCCAAAACCGTTAGTACCCCTTCTGACATGAACACCTAAAAGAAAAATAATCCACATCTCTCTCCCTCTCTCTCTATTTTTTCCTTTGTATGCAATGGCAGCCGTAAGTGGTTGCATTTATTTATGGCATCCCCAAGCTTGCACCCCCTGCCAGTGGCATCGGGACAAGGGTGCAAGGGGAGGGGGCAGTTGCCCCCCCCCCTTTTCCTGACATTTGAAACAATTATAGCAAACAATATGGGAGAGGGGGACAGGGTTTAGCTTCTCTGCACATCACCCCTCCACCTTCCAAACGGTAGCAATTCAGCTGGCCTCTGCCCACAGTGGCAAAAGACATAGCTCTATATTTATACAGACTTTCCCGAAGGGTAGGATGAATGCAATTTCTTAACATCTGGATTTGTCCAAGTAGACTCGTCCAAGTTTTTATAGATTAGTTAGTGTGAACAATCTATTGTGGTGGTTCAGTGCTGACTGCCGTATATTATAGTTTATTTGACAACTTTACAAAAAAAAAAAAAAAGCTAGCGAATGCATGTAACATCTCAGTTTGGGGAGACCATTAATTAAAAGTAATTTCGACTCTACAAGGAGCTAATTTGCCATAAAGTACATTTTAACCTTAAAAAAAAAATTATACATACTAAAATGCACAAATTCTAAATATATATATATAAAAGTACCCCAACCCAAGAACACACAGGTTTTGATTCGCAAGAGTTAAAATAATTGATAAATGTGCCAGATGTCAAAACAAAGAATGCATCGTGGCATGCCTAAGCTCCGCCACAACCGACACTACTAGATAGTCAGCAAGCTGTTCATGTGTGCCACTTCATCAT